TCCTCACTCCAGTCTGTACAATCCTCACTTCAATCTGTACAATCCTCACTCCAGTCTGTACAATCCTCACTTCAATCTGTACAATCCTCACTCCAATCCGTACAATCTTCTGCGTTTTCTACCAGTTCCACCACTGAACCAACACATCACTCGGTTTGTAGTTTTAATGAAACCACAAGCTTTTAATTTTCCATTTCAACAGTCACAACGATAAAATAGTTAAAACAAGCATGTCAAGAGTACAGTCTGTACAATTGTACTTCTATAGCGCTTTTCTGGACACTCCACTCAAAGCCCTTTCCAGGTAATGGCGACTCCCCTCCACCACCACCAGTGTGTAGTCCCTCCTGGATGATGCGATGGCAGCCATAGTGCACCAGTACTCTCACCACACCTCAGCTGGAAACATCATTTGCAACCCATTTTTCTTTGTGATGTTCAGGGTACAATATAGAACACAAACAGCGCAGCCTTAATGATGAACAAATCCATATTAATCTCTCCAAAAGGGTTGATATAAGGGAACATCTAACTTTCCTTTCTTTCAAAATGGCAACTGCTATTTGGTCCAACATGTTTGTACTTTTAAGTGTGAAAAATGTTACCAGTCACACAAATTTACAAGCTTTCCTTTCAATCAATAGGCGAGAGCCCTGCTTAAAATATTGACTTTGTAGACATCTAGTAGTAGATGTTTAACGTAGACAAGCACAGGGTTTTGCATGGAGGTAGTAAGAACATAAACTAAAAATACACAATGGAAAAGCCTGAGCCAGAAGAGGTTTCTTATTAAAACAGACTTGTGTTTATGTTGACACCATTTACAATTTTAGACAAGTGGAAATAAATGAAGTAAAATATATATCGGAGGATGTAATGTTAAAATGGTATTACACTGCAGCAAGGCCTTATTTAGAATGTTGTGTACAATTTTGGTCACCACATTATACAAAATACTGGTGTTCAGGAATCTGTACAGAGAAGATTAACCAGATATATTCCAAGGTTTGTCCTACACTGACAGGCTCAAGGAACTGAACCTTCTTAGTCTGGAATAGACTGGAGAAGATTATATGCGGACCTGATACAAGTATTCACAACCCTCAGATTTTGTCAAAGGACATTTGGTCAATGGATGAACAGTGAATCAAACCATTGGGTACAAGTGGAAACTACATGGAAATTCATTTTGAACCATGAGCTGGAGACACTTCATTATCCAAAGGTTATGGGAATCCTAAACAAGCTACCAGTCACAACTACTAACCACCACACAGGCTAGATAGGCTGAATTTGCCTTCTTTCATAAATTTTATGATGATTTACTGCAATCATTATCATTGCACAGGGAGATGTAATATTTGGCATAAAGTATTGAATTCCAGGAAACAAGAGGATCATATTTATGTACATCTTGATGTATCCAATGTGTTCTCTGAAATAAAATCCAATAAAAGCATTTTGTTGTTTGAAAGCACAATGGAAGCCTGCAGGAGCATATTGAGTTCTCTAAACTTTTCCTGCTTTTCTGTAAACAGCACCACTAAAAGAGGAAACACATTGAGATCAGTATTCAATATTTAATATTAGCAGTAACATGATAATGGTCAAAGAGCTGTCATGATTGGAGTCACTCCCCCTTAAGGGCGCTCTGGCTCTTCCTTGTTTGCTTCATTCCCCGCACCTGTTCCTTGTTCCAGCCCCCCTTAAAAGCCAGACACTGACGTTAATCCAGGCTCTGCTCTGGTTTCCGCACCAGGTGAGTCCGGGACCTGGAAGCGCCTGGTCCCGTTAAGGTTTTATTTTTTATTCCTGTTCCCTGCTGGTTCTGACCCAGTTCCCGTTTTAAATTGTCAGTCTTGGATGGACTGCCTGGTTTTGACTTTTGCCTCCGTTTGGATTCCCACTTGGACTTTCTTCTGGAGTGTTTGCCTCGGCCACACCTCCCCCTAACACCAGCGCACCATGGACATGTCCCCTGTTTTCATTCCCGACTCCCGCATGCCTTTTTTCCTTGTGTATTCTCACTCTACCCCGGATTGTGTCGTCTTCTTAGGGAAGAACTGTTTCGTTACAAGAGCTTTCTGATAAATGAAGACAACTTTCACAAGATGGGATGAACATAAAATACAATTCCACAGTAGTGTCCAATTTTAGAAATTTAAGGCTACTGGTATAGTAGTCACACTGCTTGGAACTGGACACAGGTTTGTCTTGTCACCATTGGATGTGAAATACGAGCATTTAGAGGGGAATTTTGGAAAGGCCAGTTGTGTGCTTTTCGCAATCTTGGCTCACAGCTGTCAACAACAGCATCACATGTCTGTAAGTCCCTGCTGAGAGCTAAGACAGTCCTAGCTGAGCTGGTCCACCTTGTCCTCGGCAGTGCTCCGCCACTTAAAAATCCTGCTCAAAGTCAGCTAGTGACATGACCCAGGCTCGAACCCGTGATCACAGAGCTCACGCTGCACTTGGGAGAGGGCTTTCCCCCTTTGAGCCACTTGGAAGGCCACACCTTCTTCCAAGACATGTAGGGCTTTATTTTCCCTGGAAGCTTTATATTTTTGAGCTGTACTTATATTTGCTGTGCTGTGATAGACCCCAGCCCTAGAAAAATAAGCTTCAAGTATCTGAGCCCCAAAACACCCACAATGACAGTCACATAAAGATGCATGAAGCTTTGTTTAGGATCAATCTCAAGTCTTTCAAAACTTAAGCGAAGCTCCTACTACTAAACTCCACAGCAGTCTCCCCAGACTGCTTCCTTAAACCCAACCACCTCTTTTCATACCCCATCCTTACTAATTACACCCATGCAAGATTGCAGAATGTGAGTCTTCATCAATGATATATTTGACACCCAATGAATCTCTTTACAGTAATAGAGTCTTTTCAACTGTCTCCAGTGGCAAACCCATTGTTACCGCAGATAGGCCCTCCACATCCTTTTTTCTACATTTATAATGTGCACTTGTTTTTTTAAAACTCATAATAATGTTACATCATTATGTCCGAAATTCGACAACCAGAATCCTGACCAGGTCTAGTGCCAGTGATCACATTACCCCTGTCCTGGAGTCCTTGCACTGGCTTCCTGTCAAGTTTTGTATCGACTTCAAAATCCTCATGTGCAACTATAAGGCTCTGCATGGCTTGACACCTCAGTATCTGTCTGAGCTACTATCGTCCTACTTTCAACCTTCACTCTTCTAATTCAGGTGCCCTGTTTGACCCCCAAGCCCGTCTACACTCTATGGGTGACAGGGCCTTCTCCTGTTATGCTCCAAAGCTCTGGAATCTCTCCCCAAGGAAATCAGAGTCCACTTCTCTAAACTCCTTTAAATCCAGACTCAATACCTTCTTCTTTACTTAACTGGTTCTGTTCTTTACCCCTCTGCTCCTACTGCATTCAGTACCCTCATCTACTGTCTCCTCTAACTGTGTATTTTCATTGTGTAATGTGCAACATTGTCATTCTGTAAAGCACTTGAGAGGCCACCTTTAGATTATTATTAATTATTATTATTGTTTATTATTATTGCCGCAAGCAACAGAACCTTACAGGAAAGTTAACGGTGATTCTGCCAGGTCACTAGAAACTGAGAAGACCCTTTTCTGACTGCTCTGTCGGTGACTGCACTAGTAACAGCAAGTGACAAGACCCAAGTGAGAACCAGTGACTTCTGAGTGCTTCATGACTGAACCAATTACATCTCCCACCCTCTACCAGATCCTTAACTATGAAAACACTTTCAAAGTATCATGTATCAAGTATCATCTGCTTTATGAAGAATTCATGAGGTTTTGAAGGCAGCCCCGAGGGCTGAGATAGCCTTTTGCTGTGTGTGAACACCAAGCTTGTTCAGTCCCGACAGGAATTATTGTCCTTTTCTTAAGGCAGTCAATGTCCTATCAAAGACCATCTTGCTTTTGAAGTCTTCTGTACTTCAAATAATGTTCTGTATAAATAAATGTGATTGTTATTAGTAGTCTTTAATCAGCTATAATTAAAGATTTTGTTTTTGAAATGAAAATAAAATGAAATGGGAATTAAGTAATTCACAGCCTGCAGGGGATTATCTTATTATCTTGATTTTCAGCACAACGCCTCTAGTTCTATTTGCCATTTTGTATCTTAATACTTTCTCTTCTCTTTTAGACACAAAAACTGTCTGATTCCAGGCATTGTAAAGAAAAAAATGTTTTTGTATATTCCAAAGGTTTATTCCTAGCCCAGGCATCACTAGCTGTTTGTCCAGTATTTATACATTTGACATTTAAACATGAATAGTGTTCCCAGCAGTGCTCTTTTAATATGATAGATTCTCATTT